AAATCTCTTCTCCATGCACTTTTATCCGAAATGAAGGTCCCCCTCACTACAAATATAGTCTTAAAAACTTTCATTCAAAAAGATAAGCTGGCTTCACGATGTTCTTTTATGTTCTGTCATTTTACTTTTACGCATTATTTTATTTGATAACTTACTGTGATTTATAATAGCATAAATTATGTACACATTTCCACGGTTAATTTATTATTATTGGATATATTTTAACTTTTTATGAAAGTACATAAGGAAGAAATTCCTAGTTTGATCACTTTACAAGACAATGACCGTTTGGCTCTAATACAACGTTTAAGTTGACGCAGTCCACGTGACATCCTTTCCCTGCTCATCCGAAACCCATTTACATTTCGCATCTTAAATTATTTTCTTAAGTAGTTTAATTAATAATGTTAATCCATCAAGCCCAATCCTTTATTTGACAGTATGTTTACAATAGTTTCTTATATAATCCAGGCTTTCTTTTTGTTTCAAGCATTTGCCACTGATACTCTAGTGGCGCTTGTTCTTAGAATGATAATAATTAACGACAAATTTTGATTTATGTTTCTTATATCTTACTGTTTTATATCCCATTTCAGCTATGAATAATCGGCAAGTTGTTCAAGAGATTGAACGCGACTATCGAATGCCAAACCCCGGCACCGTATCACGGCCATGCCCGGACGACCTGTATAATATAATGCTGAAATGCTGGGATGCTCGCCCGAGCCAACGGCCCACCTTTCGCTCATTGCACGAAATATTCGAGAACTGGTCTACTCACGTTGAAGGCCAATATTTGGATAATTAGCCTTCCTCAGAAACCTATACTTCTAGCCATACCTTTACATCATTGCGCCCAATTATTAGTGATTTCTTCACATTGGTGATTGATCATCTGTCTTTTATCCTCTGCTTTCGGCTTTTTACCAATCGCCAGATAGTTCGAGATGGTCATGGACGCAAGATTCCGTCATATTTTACCAATAATGATCTATTCTTTTGAGGGCTTTCTACATTAAGTCTATATATATATATATATATATATATATATATCGTTATTTGGACA